TGATCAGTGGCCAGACCATGCCTGACGAACTAGACTTGGGAAACATGACCAAAGAGCTCAGGCACGACTTCACTGCTTTGAAGTATTTCAGTGAATTGGGACCAGTCACTCGAGTGGACAACGAGGAGGGAAAGAGGCGGCAGATTTATGACAGCGATAAGTTGTTCCTAGTAGAGAGAAGCCTCCTCACCCTGTCGAATGCCTGGGGCCCAGGCAAGTTCGCAGCATCTGGTTGCATAGCCGCCACAATTTTCCTCGACAACTACATTCGAGGCATCGCTTTCCGAGCCCGAATAATGGCAGGTTCCCCTAATGAGCGAAGCCCTTCTTACACTCTTCGCAACAACAAAGAAAGTATGCTAACTCGGACCTTAATAGGATCGATTAGTGGCCCGACTCCAATTCTCGATGAATATGGTTCTCAACGATATCACACGCTACAACTCCAACGAGGGCAGCACCAAAGCCATGATATGGGTTCTCTTCGTCGGCGGAGTTGCAGCCGGAGCTCGGCCTGAGCGAGAGTGGTTTATTTCACATCTACTCAGCTTTACGGATGCTCTGGAGTTACAGCTCTGGGAACAAGCCGAACCAATCCTGAAGAGCTTCCTCTGGCCTGCTGCCTGGCAAAATCTCGGTCGAGCCTTGTGGACACATATTGAAGAAGCAAAGACTACGAAAAGTATGATTTAGCCCCTTGTCGTCGACATTACGCCCCTAGGACATTACCAATGGAGTCATCTTGATACTGATGGATGTTCAGGCCAATAAAATACCCAAATTCTTGCCTGGGGACGAAACAACATTCAAAGCGAAAATACATACTCGGAATTTGCACTGAACCGGACAGCTTTGTACACCCTTGTTCATTGAAGGATATTCCCGCTAGGCTCTCTGCCTACGCCCCCTTCCCAGATCGATAATGTGGCGATGCTTTTGAAGAAGATGACGAGGAAAACCGACATCGACTACTCAACAAATTTGCACAACGACTTATAAAAACGACAAGCTTATAAATTGGATCAATGAGAATGATCAAAACATCTTCAAATACGTTGTACCTCCGAAAGGATTCACGGAACTTAGATGAATCGAGGTTTTGTTAAGGGCAGCTGTACCCCTGCGCTAGTTTCGGGAGATCTACGGACCAATTTGGCACTAGGAATCTGCATGACGCTGACAACTTCCGCATCACAAGATTGTTTCCACAGATTCTCTGCAGATGGATAATTCGATCAAGTACACTTCTGATGAACATGCCAGAGCCTAGGGTAATCTATTGGTTCCGTACCGATTTGCGTCTGCATGATTCCCCTGCTCTGAAAGCCGCCCTTGACTTGAACGCTGAAGCTTTTTGGCCCGTTTGGACTTGGGACCCTCATTATGTTTACAGAGCAAGAGTCGGAGTAAATAGATGGCAATTCCTGTAAGCGCAGCTCTATTTTTCTTTTTTCAATTGTCTGACAAATCTCAGAACAGACTGTCAAAATGATCTCTCCAAATCCATCACCAAAATCAACAAGAAATCGAAGCTGTTCGTCATGCGCGAAGCGCCGCAAACACTCTTCCCGAAACTGTTTAAAGCATGGAAGATTACTCATCTGGTGTTCGAGAAAGATACGGACACATATGGACGAGGTCGAGACACGGAGCTCATGAAATTGGCACGGGAAGCTGGAGTGGAGGTTATCGTCCAGTCAGGACGTACTCTTTGGGACAGTGATCAACTGGTTGAGAAGAATCATGGGAAACCAACTATGAGCATAAGCCAGGTACAAACTGCTGGGCCAAAGGTTGGAAAGATTCCGCGGCCCATACCTGCTCCAAGTCCATGCCTGACCCTGGAGATTCTAATTTGGATTTCGAGCAACACCATCCGGAGACAGCTCCGGACTTCAACAGTGGATCGAGGGAGCATGAGGACAAGTCTTATGAAAAGATATCAGGACCAAATGGCGACTTCAGCGTCCCAACACTAGAGGAACTTGGCTTTCCAGCAGCAACGAGTTCTCATCGAGGAGGAGAGACAATTGCCCTAGAAATGCTAGACAAGATCATCGCTAACGAGAAATATACCGCCACATTCGAAAAGCCCAACACAGCACCGACAGCATTCAAGCCTCAAGCGACCACTCTCCTCTCGCCACACCTCCACTTTGGCAGTCTCAGCATCCGAGAATTCTACTGGCGCGTCCAAGACGTCGTAGACAAATACTCCGGAAAGCCCTCTCAACCCCCTGTGTCTCTAACAGGCCAGCTTCTCTTCCGCGACATGTACTTTGGCGCCCAAGCCTCTCTGGGGCATTCGTTCGGCCAAACACTCTACAATTCACATTGTCGGTTCATTCCCTGGCACTTACCCAGCAAAGTAAACCACGAAACCAAGATCGTGACGGGAGAATACCATATCGACTTCCCGCAAGCGGAAGAATGGTTCCAGCGCTGGAAATACGGCCGAACAGGCTTTCCCTGGATCGACGCCCTGATGCGCCAACTCCGCCAAGAGGGTTGGATTCACCACCTGGGCCGACATGCTGTAGCATGTTTCCTTACTCGAGGCGGGTGCTACATCTCTTGGGAACGTGGAGCAGAGGTTTTCGAAGAATGGCTGCTTGACCATGAAACTGCCTGTAATGCAGGAAATTGGCAATGGTTGAGTTGTACTGCGTTCTTTGCGCAGTTTTATAGATGTTATTCTCCCGTTGCGTTTCCGCAGAAGTGGGATAAAGAGGGGAAGTTTGTGAGGAGATACGTGCCTGAATTGAAGGGGCTGGATAAAAAGTACATTTATGAGCCGTGGAAGGCACCGATTGCGGATCAGAAGAAGGCTAGTGTGAGGATTGAAGGCGATGGGAAGGAGGAGAAGAAAGGGACTTATCCGAAGCCAATGTTTGATTTTAAGGAAAGGAGGACGATTTGTTTGGATGAGCTGAAGAAGGCTTATAAGGTGGCGTTGTATGGTGACGATCCGAAGGTTATTGATGGGACGTGGAGAAAGTTGTTTGATGATGATGATGATGAGGGTCCTATTAAGGGGAATAATTTCGAGGATGAGATGGGACATGAAGCTGATGGGGATGAGAAGGTGCGAGATAGGCCTGATGGTGGGGATGAGAAGAATGGAGTAGTTGAAGAGGACGAAAGTGGAGCGAAGGAGAAGGGAGGAGACAACAAAGGTGGTGATATTTTGAAAAGTAAAAAGAGGAAGGGTGGCCAACGAACCTCGGATGGCCATGTGACAAAGGCGAAGAAGAAATCGTAGCTTTAGTTAGCTTACAAAATCGGACGGACTGTCGAAATTTGTACATGGAGACCTCGGACTCGGAATGTGGCTTATTCGTTGTGTGTGCAGCACCAATCTTGTAAATCCTCTACAGTGGTTGACCGTCACAATCCGTGGGGCGAGGCAAGTCTTCACGTCTACGAGAAGTTGGAAGGACGGGAAGGAACTAGACTGCGAAGACTTGAAACCCAATTTCGGTTTTGAAGAGGCAAGTGAGGAGCGGGGTGATAGGTGCTTCCTCGACACTTTGAGAAGGAAGTTCCGTCCTCCTTCTACGTATACTTAGCTTAGCTAGCGCGACTTTAAGGCACCCTCCCTTCAGATTCTATTCTTTCGCACTCTTTCTCTTTCCTTATGCATACGTAGCTTTTATTTCTTAATGCCATAAGCTCATCGTGATCACGTTGGAGACTTTGGCCCGCGGCCAGCAAATTTGGAGTTGGCACGAGCTGTACGCCGAGGAAAGGCACGTCTGTCTGGTGCCTTTCCAACTTTCCCAAACCAGTGGAAATCTGAAGAACCATTCGTTTTGCCTCATGTGAGAGTCACTACGGATGGCACTCAATCATCAGAAAGTCAAGCACTCTGTAAGAATTTCGAGAGGGATAGCGCAGAGTGATTTAAGTACTATACTTCGAATAGTCATGGATACAAGAATCATCTCAAACCCCATTTTATGAACGCAAGGAACACATAGGCACCAGCGCTCGGGTTGCGGTAAGGACACAGCGCCAGATGCATCGTAGGAGAGCGGTGAAGCCAGATGCGAGATTTAAAAGAAGAAGAGGAGCGAAGGAAGAATCCGAATGGGGAGCTTATAGTCGCGCTAACGACCGTGCTCCCTCTCAAAGTGACGAGAGAGTGTGCGCACTGTTATCTGACCAGTCGATACTAGCAGATTGGACTGCCTGGCGTATGCTTGAGTGAAGCAAAAACGGAAGTCACGTCTTGGCATGGGGTCTCGCTGAACGTTTTGAGGAGCAACGAAGTTCAACACTAAAATTCCGCCTGCCTTCGGCTTGCTACTGAGGTTTCCCTTTGCTTCATGACGACTTGTGCAATCAGAACACCTAGTACTAGCGCCCATTAAGCCGTCGAAACTCTACAGTGATGATCATGACACACATCTGAACTTCTGACTATGTGAAAACGTGACCAAAACTTCCAGCATTCTTCATGAAGCATTATCCATATCGCATTACTACAATATACTTGGAAACTAGAGAGTTTTAATGTTCATTCTGCACAACACTTTCAGAGGACATCTAGTATACGGGGGCAATCTAAACACGAACTCCGGTGCATTTCTGCAACGCTTGTTCGAAACACAAGATATTGCCTTTCCTGCTTTGAGCGAGCAGTCGACGGAGGCAAGAAGTGCCATAGAACAGTCCTTCGAATTTAAGAAGAGTGTTGGTCACGTTCCATTCGTGAACGGAGAAGTTCGCGAAGATTAAGTTGTTGGATTCGGCACAAGGTCATGCCTATATTGGAATTGCTCCAACCAGTTAGCGAAACATTCGGAAGATTGGAAGATAGGACAGTATCAATTCATTTCTTGCGTGACCTTTGGCTTTTTATATCGATTAGGCGTATTCCGACTTGGACTGCGCCATCGACTTCGCCACCCCGCTTGACTCACCCGGCGAACCTTCTACAAACTAGCTGTGAACTTACCATATAGTTTTAAATAAGCATTTCTTGTACATACAAAATTGGCTGAGTAGTTCAGTTGGTAGAATACGTGCTTTGGGTGTTTAACAAACAAGTACGTGGTCCTCGGTTCAATCCCGAGTTCAGCCCTTTTTTTGCTCTCCCCCCCCCTTGGTGGCTAAGTGAGTAAGTTCTTTTGCCTGTTTTTTGTCTTCTCTCTTACTTGAATTCTTTGGGGTTATAATTAGTGATGACTGCAAGGTTGTATTATCCGAAGTACACCCTGATTTCTGATATCTGCTGTGATCGTGGCCCGGGACTATTGCTGCAGCACAAAGCCCCTGCCACCTAGCAGACGAGATTTTTGCAATAGAGTTGGGAAGTCGCATGGGTGGTTGGAGCGTCTAGAAAAGATGTTCATTGTTTTTCTGACCTAATGTATTTTGATCAAATGTTAATTTCAAAAACATAATGGAAAGCGAGGGGGTCGAAACGAAACGAAAAAGCGGTGATTTGAGAATGCTTCGGCCCAACGGAAACATTCTCCTCCGGCAGTTGTTGAGAGAAGGAGATGAGAAATCTTGAAATTTGATACATCAGATCAGCCAGGGTACCCGGAAGAGAGATCGGAAGGATGGAAAAAATCAACAATTTGGTCCAGGAAGAGAGGTAGACAGTTGCTGAAAATTGATGCTTGCCTGCATCCATCTCTGATCTTGAAGCATCGAGAAAGCCACTATTTTTAGCCTGATCGATCTGGACTTGTGCAGGCAGGGCCGGGTTTGGATGGACATACGACCAATTAAAGCCCTGACAGAAGAGAGTGGCCCAGAAAACCCAGGCAAGACTGAGTGCAGGGAAAGTCTCTTGTGGGTTCAGAATTAAGCCACAGCTCTATTCAAGAATGAATATCATCCCAAAATGTTTACTAGAGAATGCCATTTTCTTCTAATCATCTGAGACCTTCAGTCGAGGACGTAATGCATGTTCCCGTCGCCTAAGGAGAGGTAGCAAACGAACTTGGTATATCTCACCCTCACCTCACCATTTGCCTTGAGAACCTCCCCAAGACAAGCTTTTCCTCCGAGTCTTCCATGATTTGAGTTTCCAACACAGAGTACCAAACTCATCATGCGCCTCCTTCGTGACTATCCTGAACTACCTCTCAGGAATCTAAACGTAGATCAAACCATTCTGCCTCTAACGATGGCAGAAAAGTTAGATATAGTTGCCTAATCTGAACATGATCAAATAGCCAACATGTCTCTTTTCAAAGCACTCACCGGGGAGATCACCAGATATTTGCCTCCGGTCCGGGAGAAGCATCCAGGACATTCGCCAACATCCGGGATGCTGTACTACGTTCGAAAACAGCATACTGACTCTGGGATTCTGGGGTTTAGGTTCACCCATCCTGGAGCTCCTGCAAGCTAGCGGCGACACTCGTGCTGATTCTCGCATCCTCGAAAGACACGATGTTCAAAGCCATGAAGTTCCAATCCAGGAGCTTGGGAGGCTTACCAACATTACCTCAGATTGGCAGCACCCTGTCTACATCCTTTCAATCTGCATTCGAAAATGCCAAGTCCGTTGCTTTAGGACTAGGAAAGAAGACAACAGTTCTGGGTGTGTCTTTGGTGGATGTGCATGTTTTTGAGCTGGCAGAGAAAGGCTAGTCGGAGCCGTGGAGCTCGTTCGCGCATACATTCGTCCTCGAGGTTGGGCCCGAAGGGGTGAGCATAGGTATCGTCTTGATGAGTATGTTGAGTGTAAGGGTGCGAAACCCAGGACTTGGGAGGAAGTAGAGGTGTTTGTGGGAGATTTTGAGCAACTGTTGAAAATCGAAGGACGTCTGAGTGGGGAATCAGTTGTCCGAATCCAGACCTGATCCAGAACAGGGCAAGCAATGGAACTACCAAAGAAATTTGTAATACAAGAAGTGCTTTGAGATTGATGTTAATGAGATGTGTGGCACAAAGGGAAAGCAGAGGCCTATGATGCCCAAATTTGAAGGTTGGTTTAGAGTGCATGTTATTCTTACGTCTAGGTAGAGCGCGTGAAGAAGTTTACTTTTCTCTGAAACTAGGGCTTGAATTTTGGATAGGATATGAAGAAACATGGCTGCACTTCATACCTTAACTCGCAACCAACTTGGGTTATGTTTTCCCAGAACATATCTTGAGGCTGTCACTAGCTTTGCGAAGCAGACTCTTGGCTTTGCGAATCCTCGCTTTCAAGGAGACAACGGTTTAAGTTCAAAGTACACGGATGCACACTCACCAAGACTGCTGGTGCAAAGCCTCAAGTCTCCACCTTAAGCAATTCTTGAGGTTTTCGCCTCACCAAGGCTGCTGGTGCAAGGCTTCAAGTGTCCACCTCAAGCAATTCTCGAGGTTCTCGCCTCACCAACACTGCCGGTGCAAGGCTTCAAGTGTCCACCTCGAGCAATCCTCGAGGTTCTCGCCTCACCGGGTCGTGTACCCCATTTCCCCGATCGCGGGTTTCGGAAAACGTCTCCGCGAAACTTACACAGCACAGTTCATAGTGCTCAAGAGATTGACGTCGTTCTTGGCATCTTGAAGCATCAGACGCAACGAGACTTCTCAGCGGGGTTCTCAGGCAAACAAAATACTGATGCTGTGCACTCAACATGCACGTGGTCAACCTTTGAATAGCCAATGTCCCCTTTGAGACCTTTGACCTCCAATTGATTAACGACAAATGTACATCTTCTGAAATGCAACGCCGCAAGCTCAAATATATCTCAAGAACGTGGGGCAACCTTCTGGCATATGACAGATCTATCTCTCGTCGATAAACCCATCGCTGGCCAGTTCGGTGCGACGTTACAAAGTACCTGATGCCATTGAGACATCAGTAAGTGCTGATAGCTACAACGGTGAAGCCCAATCATGGTCTTTCATACTACTATAGCACGGAGGTAACGACTAAACAAGACAGAAGAGGCCCACATGCCGAATACCTCGGGGGACAGGACTAGTGCCCTGCTACTTGACTGGCTGAGCAAAGGACTTGCTTCGTGAAACTCAAGAACAGCCCAGTTTCTTACCTTTTTTTCGAGACACCGAGCGGCATCGCAAATGCGTAGGCAATGCCTGTGCCGATTCTGACGGTCCGGATGTCTTCCCGAGCTGAATAAATGACGTGATTTTCTGACGGATAAGCCGCTCTCGGGGACTTGTTTGAAATATGAGAGGACCCATCAACTTTGATGTAAATATCCATGCACGATCCGCACGTCAATGCAAAGCGACTAAAATCTGCTCACGAGGCCGCTTTATCCGCTTGTGCGAGGAAGTGTCTTTTTGTAAGCCGAACCGAAGATAACGAAGCCGAAGTTTCTCGGCCCGAGACGGCATCATTGTATCTTCTCAGGCAAACCTCAAGTTCCACAGAAAGCGTCGGACTAGCCACAGCTAGAGACAACCTTAGAAAAGTTTCGCAAGGAGACAAGGTCCACGAAAACGGCTGCACTCCGCAACCAATGCTAGATGCGATGGTCCGAGATTCCACACACACACTACAAGCACATCGTGCGGTACGTAGCGATGCTCCAAGACCAACATTTCAGAGTCTATTTGCAAGTTAGCGCGCTTCCCATTCTTTCTGTCTCAGAAGCCATAAGGACCCAGCTCATGGAGAGTTCCTGTTTTTACGTCTGATAGAAGCCATGTACCGAGTGATTGCGACGGGTATTTGCAAGTTGGAGGTCTGGTGTTGTGTTGGAAAATGTCGCTGAGGTCGGCGCATTTGATTGATTGATCGACTAGGCTAGTAATAACGCGGATGTTGAGGTTACACAAACTCTTCTTTAAATCAACCGTAACCCTCGATTGTTGGCCTGTGAACCACTGCACGCTTGCAGCCACATCTTTGTAACACCTGTACCATTTCAAACGTTGACCGGCAGTCGAGGCCCATGGCATTGCCTCATCTGGAGAAGAGTTCCTTGGCTACCAGAATATACAGCAAGCTGGCTGCGACGGACCGTTGCTTGAGATGATCAAAAGTGGTAAACCGGTTGGCCACAACACCCACCCTCTACTCCATTTTTGGACGAGAACTTAAGGTTTTTTAGGCACTTCAACCCTCTCAATGCTTCGGACATTGGCCTGCCTGTTAAGGATTCAAGGAGAATGCCATTGCTCCGTGCTTAACATGGCATGGTCCAGTTATTGTCGCTTGTCACAGTCCAGGAGCTGCAGGAACATCGAATAAGCTGATTCTCAGCAACTCGGAAATCAAGGGTATCCTCGGGAAATTTATTCCTGCAAAGCCGTTTTCGACTCTTCTCTGGTTCATCTTTTTTCGCGTCATCGGTTATCAATGGGTCGAAGTATGAGATTCGGAGACCTGCTTTCACGTCGCATGGCCCTTGCACATCGGCTGCATCGCATCGCTGCAATTGATGCATGTCATGAGATGGGCCCCGACGGGTGGCAATCTGATCATTTTCTCCCCGGAAAACCGTTGGAGTGAGATTGGGGATGATGAAATGATGGCCGTCTGGCTAGGATGACACGGGCTGTTGCTAGAAACACCTAGGGCTGACCTCTTGGCTCGTTCCTTTAGAGGCGTTCGGCCGAAGAGCCAGCAATTCGGGAAGTGGGGACTCTTGGACTGTGCGATTGCAGGCCGGGTAAAGAGGACTTCGGCCTCGAGCCATATTCGAGTTCCACGGGGGTCAGAAAGTATAACCAAGGTTGCTGCCCAAGGTTCAACAGGCCGACTGAGCCCCGGTGATCGGTCATATCCACCACTGGAAGCGCATCCGAGACGGCACCGGCACATGTGGCCAGCCAGGATAGCTCATTTCGTGGCGAGTCGAGGCCAGGGAGTGTAACGAGTTCTCGGCTGGGTACTTGCTGGATGTACTACCAGGGCCTGCCTCCCTCCCTTCCCTGTACTGTGTTTATCGTCGAGGCACATATGGGCCGAGAGCGTAGAGTGAGAGCAAGAAGGTGGTGTGGGTGGTGGTTGTTGAAGAAAGACGAGGGAAAGTTCACGATGTTCTTGCTGCCGGCGCCAAGCTAGCTTCTCCTAACAGACTCGAGACTAAAAGTTTAGCCCACGAGCCATCACAGCAGAGCGAGCAAGCACAGGTCACTTTACCCCCCCACTCTCCTCCT